GCCGCCCCGCAGCAGCACCCGCGGGAGTTTTCCCAAGGAGAACCAGGAGCCTTGATTGAACCCTGGCGGAAAGGGTGGGCTGGGCGGCCTAGGAAGCCCGCTCTTCCTCTCCGCGGCTGTTGGCGCCATCCCGTTTTTCCCAGGGCGTCTGCCGCCCAACAGCTTCTTCACCCTGGCTTCGCGATTCCATCTTCCCTTGCCCTCTCGGCCATGGGTACTGGTGGTCTTTGCCCAGATGTTCGTTTTGCTCCTTGCTTTTCTTCAGATACTACTTATGAAATATCTGTAAACCTGTAAACAAAGCATTATTTTATGAAACAGGTATGGGTGCTGTTCACATGAGCCAATTTTTCAAGGTTGAATTGATCAATAGGCGCAAGCTGGTTATTTTAGCCCCCAAAGAGAGAAAAGCTGCAGTTCTTTTCTAGCCAACATAAGCTCCAGGGAGTGCCTACCCTCTGCTTCTCTAAGACAAGCGGTAAATTATGGTCAGAATAGAAAGTAAGTCTGTCTGAACTCACAGAGAGCTGGTTTTGCTTGGCTCCAGGAAGATCTGTGATGTTTGTGCATGGGGTATTTTCTCCCAGAATTTCTCAGGATTTGCATGCAGTGCCTTGCTCCTCTTAACAGAGCTGGGGTTGTTATCTGAAAACTTTCTGACCTGTTTGTTTGTTTGCTTATTTTTGTCTTTTAACAGGCAACATTTTCTTTCCAGAGATCAAAGTAAATTATTCAGAATTACAAAGTGGGAGTAGGTTAGCCTTAGAACAAATGTCTTAGGCCCCTTAAAACTGGCAGGAAAAAACTCAAATAAGAGTTTATGGACCAGCAGAGGGGGAAAAATCCCCATGTGCACTTTCTATCTCAGACACTGAGCATACATCTGCATGTTCTGCTGTGAAAAGGACCTGTGGGAGCTCAGTAAAGCTGAGGCAGAAGACCGTAGAGATCTTGCAGTGCTCCCTTGCCTGGGGACTGGGGGAGGGGGAGGCATATATCCCCTGCAGCCCCATAGGAAGAATGGACTCCTTGGGCTATGGAGAGCTCTACATTTGCCATGCTAGCTTTCCAAAGGCCACGTAGAATGGCTCAGGAGTGTCAGGACAGCAGCTCCTGGGGCAGTGTTGATTGATTTCAGCAGTCTGTTGACTGGCAGTTTGGCTGAAGCATTTGGACTGACCAAGCTGGCCATCTGAATTCTGGGCAAAGTTCCTGGGAGGGAACCTTGCAGCTGTTTCTACAAGAAGGCTGAAATGAGTGTTCCCATGCAACCCAAGTGCTGCACGTTGTGAGGAGCTCAGCAAGGCATTGCCCCATGGTCCAGGGTCCTTCCTCCCTGCTTTTTGCACACTATAATTTATTTGGTCTCCTCGTGCCAAATTATTTCACAATCAAATGTAGTGCTCACGGTGGTCTTTATGACCCCAAACCCTCAGCTCTGATGGGAGTGCTGTATCTCCTGAAGTACCTGCCCCCTGTCTGGATCCATTCGGCATAGTCTCTAGCAGGCGACCCCAACGAAAAACCCAAATCCCTTCCTTTGCTGCAGAAGGAAAGGGGGTCTCAGACTGGAAGAAACTTGATGTTCTAGGTTTGCATGACGCTAGGCCATAAACCAACCACATCACAAGATTGGCTCAATGCTGGCTGGCTACTTGGCGTATGTCCCATGAAGACAACATGTGCATGTGGAAAGATTGTCAGGTTGACACTTCCTGTGAGTGCCACGATGAGCTGACATCTACTGGCTTGCTGACTAGTAAGACAGCTTTTGTGAGGGAAATCACGGCTAGATGTTGGATCTGGGCTGGTGGCGCAATCTCTCCGGATCAAAGGAGAGATCGTTGAGATCATCCACGTGACTCCGCACAGCCGCTACTCATGGGTAGACCGTGGAAAATGTCACTCTACGGACGGCTTATGAGTGGAGTGGCTGGGAGTTGGGACTACATCAAGCTCACGCTCGCAAAGCAGCCTGGTGGACAGTAAGCAAAACTGAGCCTTAAATCTTAATCACTTTTTTGGATTAATTTTTTGTGTGTTGTATATTGGAAAGATTAAGACCCTTCAGACCAGCAAGGTTTTACTATATTCATCGGGTGAGTCTCTGTCTCCTTCAAAGAAGATGATGTAAATTTGATCATAAACGTTTTGAAAATATATGATTTTTTGGGGGACTATGCAGCAAAAGGGCACCTAGTATAATTTTGGATTTTGGAAAGTTCATAATGGATTAAAGGGCCAGAGAAATTTGGAATTGTAATTTTGAATTTATTAGAAGATCTTCTCATGGGAAAATGGCGATTGCTTTTATTTCTTTATGATTAAGAGACCTTGAAGGTTGGATATTACAGGGAGCCAGAGGACAAAGAAAATGGAGCAGAAATCCTTAGTGCAAACTTTTAAATATCTCAGCCAAGTTATTGGACAAAATGGATCAACTGCTTGAGAAACTGGACATAACATGCTTTAATGAAGTTGTAAAATAAGAACAAGTTGTAATGGATGTTTATGAAATTAATTTCAAGGAGGGCTTAAATATAATGCAAATGGATCCGATGGATGATTTATCCCCTAAAGGAGATGAACAGATACTAAAGCAGGAAATTGATTTGGATAATTTTTTTCTTCTGGATATACAAAAGAGCTCTGCTAAGGTTTGGAAAGACTTTTTTTAGAAGTGACAAACAAAAGGATAAACTTTATCTAATGGACATGTAAAAGAAATCTGTTAATGTTCTGAAGATTTTTATCTGGATACACAGATGATCAGCAAATTACCTCTGGGGCTTTTTTTGAAGTGGTTAAAGAATAATTTTAAAAATTCAGGGAAGGTTTATAAGGTTGACTTGTATGATCAGGGTTAAAAGAGGAAAATAGTTATACCTGGCTGCCCTTACTAGACTTTTGCTGACAAAGAATGATTGATGAAGCATTTGGTTTTTGGTTTTTTGTTACTTAAGAGATGAGTTATGGGGAGAAGAGAGATTATGTTTTATTTAGAGACAGTGATAAGCTATTAAAAATGTTTTTACCTGCTGAGATGAAAGGGGAAGTTTCTTTTTCTTTTTCCTTTTTTTTTCTTTTCTATACTCTCCCCCCCTTTTTTTGTGTTTTTCTGTTTGCGTTTTTTTGTAGTTTGTATTGGTTCTTATTCTTTTCATTTATAATTCTTAATAAAATTATTTGGAAGAAAAAAAAAGATTGTCAGGTTGACATCTGTTGTATTCTCCCCCCCCCCCCCCCCCCCCCCCC